TCTCAGTGGGTCAGTATTGGTCAATATTGGATAATAACCATACGACTTGACCTCACCAGCATCCGTAGTTAACCACTCAACTAACTGGGCTAAAACCAGTAAATTACAAAATGCTCTAAAAAGAGAAATAAGGAAGAATGTTGGGTAAACTTCAAAGTTGTTTTGCCAAAGCCACAAAAAATGACCAACCTGCAGGTGTGGTTCCACTGCTTTCCGTCTCCCACTCCCTGAGTGAGAGTGGCTCAAAGCCTTCCTCCCCTCCATCACGCAGGGCAAAGAGCAGCCATCATGGAGGGCCAAATCCTAATGCTTATTCTTTACTGCTATAATAAGCTTTAAAAAGAATAAACTAAAGCTATATCTACACATGAAAAGCCCACAGTTCAGTGAAAAGAGTCTGACTGATTTCTTACTATTAGATTTTTTTCTCAACCTTGCTGCTTTTGTTATGTTATTGGCACTTAGTGAAGACTGACAGTGAAAATAACTTCCCAAAATAAAAAATATTGGAGATTGATGACATGGGGAGAAAATTACCCCACTTTCATGTAAACAGAGGAGGATTAATGCCACGTACAAAGTACCAAATTGGAAAGTCCAACAAGCTAGTGTCAGAAGGCTAACAATGCTTTCAAACCAAGAAGTCATGTGCTGCGGCCGCTCTAAAACAAGGCTAGTTATGGTGAGGAACGGCTCCCAGAGCCAAGGCACTGAGCGGCCGCGTGGCCACGAGAAGGGAGTTATTAATAATATTAATCACTATTTAAAAATATTAGAGTCTTCCCAGGTGATGCAGTCTTGATGGCTTGACACCTGTTCAGAATGTTAAACCCTCAAAGCCAAATCCAAATTGCTATGTATTAACCTAACCTACTCATTCTAGGCTCTGATTATACATAATATGACTTAACCGGTTCTGTATTTGTTCCAAGCGTGCGTTACCCAGCAGGGCGTACTTCTGTTTCTTTTGTTTCCTCCCAGCATCCAGGCACTATTCCAAAGCCTTTTGTTTATGTGCTTTTATCTACAAAGTATCACTGCTCTTGGGGCTGGAGGACTTGGCAAAGGAAGGTCCGTCTACCCACCAACCAGCTAAGATGAAGCAAAATGGTTTGAGGTTATTGGGATGCTTGGCTGAGAAATGCCCCTGATGGTCACAATCTCACCGGAACAAGCTGGACCCCTCACGAGTCTGACTCTAGATACTACCTCCATGATTCTGTTCATATCTTGTTTTGAAAATGTTTGTCTACATAACAGTCTCCCCAACTACTGTATCTCATTTACCTGTTGTTAACTGTATTTTATTGGGGTATAATTAATATACAGTAAAGTGTATACATCTTAAGCATACAGCTCGGTGAAGTTGTACCTACAACTTGCACCTGTATAACTACCACCCAGATCAAGACTTAGAACATTTCTATCATCTCAGAAAGCATCCTTCTGCCCTTTCCAGTCAATTGTTTCTCTTTTAAGAGTCCAGCACTTTCTCTTTGTGGTTTGGCATTAGAAAGAAATAGGTCCACCAACTCAAAGGAAAAAATAATAATAATTCCTTTAAAAAATGGATGGAAGACCTGAATAGGCATTTTTCCCGAAGAAGACATACAGTTCACCAACAGGTACACGAAAGATGCTCCACATCGGTAATCATGAGGGAAATGCAAACCGAAACCACAATGAGCTATCACCTCACGCCTTTAGAATGGCTGTTATCAAAAAGACAAGAGATAGGTGTTGGCGAGGATGTGGAGAAAAGGGAACCTTTGTGCACAGTTGGTACAAATGTAAATTGGTGCAGCCACTATATGGAAAACAGTGTGGAGGTTCCTCAAAAAATTTAAAATAGAATTAGCATACGATCCAGCAATCCTATTTTGGGGTATCTAGCCGAAGGAAATGAAATCACTATCTTGAAGAGATATCTGCATCCTCATGTTCATTGCAGTATCGTTCACAATAGCCGTGTGTGTGTGTGTGTGTGTGTGTGTGTGTGTGTGTGTCTAGGAAATCCTGCCATTTGCAACAACAGGGATGGACCTGAAGGTATTATGGTAACTGAAATAAGTCAGACAGAGAAAGACAAATATTGTATTATCTCACTTATATGTGAATCTAAAAAAAGCCAAACTCATAGAAACAGAGAGTAGAATGGTGGTTGCCAGGGAGTAGGGGTTGGGGAAAATGGGGAGATGTTGGTCAAAGGGTTGAAACTTCCAGTTATAAGATGAATAAATTCTGAGGATCTAATATTCAGTGTGATGACTAAATACTTGAAAGTTGCTAAAAGAGTAGATCATAAATGTTCTCACCACATCAAAAAAGATGATAATTATGTGAGGTAATAGATGTGTTCACTAACCTTATTGTGGTAATCATTTTACAATATATATGTGTAACAAATTATGACGTTGTACACCTTAAACTTACACAATGTGACATGTCAATTATATCTCAATAAAGCTGGAAAAGAAAGAAAGAAATAGGTCCATAAAAATAACGACCACAGTAAAGAGCTCCCACCTCCCGGGGATGAAATTGTCGTTTTCAAAGGGTCCAATAGAGAAGAGTTACCATTTGCAAGTAGCAGAACGTGCATCTAACTAGTCAGAAGTCTGGCTCTTCTGAATAGAAACATCAGTAAAGAAATCTCCTAGCTCATTTCTCCTAGCTTAGGACTCTCATGTGAAATGAGCATTTGGGGTCAAAAAGCTCATTTTTCTCTGAGAGATGATTTTTCCAACTTTAGAATCTGAAGCATTTATAAACACTTACAGGAATAAAAAAAGGGTACCACTTCTAAAAGCCCAACAGTATTTCTTACGTTTGAGAACAAGAGTACATGGAATGAGGTCTCACAGATGAAATCTTAGGTTTGGCACCACTTGCTGTGCAATCTTGGGAAACTTACGAAACTACTCTGTGTCTCGGATTCTTCATCTGTAAAATAGGGACAAAATAGCATTTTCCTCGTACGGGATTGTCAGAACTGAACGAGTTCATATATCCAGATTAAAAACAGTGTCAGATGTATGGTAAGGGTCCAATAAATGTTAGCCATTCATCATCATCATCATCATTTTCATATGTTCCTTCTTAATCGCTGAAGAATAAAAAGAGAGTTTTACCAGTCATATTGTTTGTTTTCTCAAAATTAAAAATAGCCTTTATTTGCCAGTTATATAAATAACATGTTTACTGTTTTAAAAATTCAAAATGTGGAGAAAAGAGTAAAGAAGAATTTACAAAAAGAAAAATTCTGAGACTCTCACTATCTGAAGGTGATCGCATTTATATTTTGATAACTAGCTTTTCATCTCTCAGCATATACACACATGTAAACTTTCAAAGGTGGGATTATATTATACAAGCTATTTCATCACAGAAACTTTTCTTTGTTTTTAGTCTTTTTTCCCCTTTATGCCTGCTCCCTCTTTTTCAACCTTCCACAATTTTCACTATGCTCATCAAATCATACACATGTGTGGCTGGCCCGGTGGCGCAGAGGTTAGGTTCACACGTTCTGCTTCGGCGGCCCATGATTCACTGGTTTGGATCCCAGGTGTGGACATGGCACCACTTGGCAAGCCATGCTGTGGCAGGCATCCCACATATAAAGTAGAGTAAGATGGGCACGGATGTTAGCTCAGGGTCTTCCTCAGCAAAAAGAGGAGGATTGGCAGCAGATACTAGCTCAGGGCTAATCTTCCTCAAAAGAAAAAAAATCATACACATGTATGTGTTTGCATATATAAAGGTTTTTTGTATTTTACAGACGTAGCATATACATATATATACATGTATCGATACATATGTATACATTTATAATATGTGTATTATATCGCTATATACCTTTGTCTTTATTTTTATCACTCTCTAGCAAAAAAAACATTGACCATTGTACACATACTATGTGCCAGGCACTCTTCTAAGCATTTACATTTGTTCTATCAACTGATACATTTCTAATACATATGTTTAAAGGCAACATAACACTCCTTAGAAAGAATGAATTACAATTTATTAAATCAATCACCTATTATTGTGGATTCATGATGTTTCAAGTATTTTTCCACTAAAATAGTTAAAGTAGATAGCCTGTAAAAATATCCTAGGAGTGGAATTTCTAGGGTGAATATTTTTAATGTTAACTATAGTGGTTTACCCCACCACCACCACTGAGTGGGAGACAGAGGGGTTGTCCCCATCATGTCAGGAGTTCCTGTGATTTTCTGCAGAAATGACTTCCAAAGTCCTATCACATCATGCAGAAGTACAGTGAGTGGACACACAGATAAGGGGGAAATGTGGCACCTTCCAGCCCCAGTAACTCCCCAGGCCGCCCTAGCCAGGGCCCTGCACAGGAGGATATCACCCCCAGACCTGCACCTCCCTGTACACATGGCCCAAATTCAGTAAGGTCCCACTCTGCAGAGAACAGAACTCAGGCCCAGGTGGAACAGAATAAGTCACAACTCAATTCACTGATGGTGATGAAATCCTAAAAAATAATCCTGTGAAGGTAGATACATAGGATACAGATTCTGCCCTAACAATTCAGTGATGCCAGAATTTCCAAGATATACCTTTTAGACTATGTGTTCCATTTCTTCACGGACTCTAGCAGACAGCAGTGATGGCCAGCCAGATACTTTACCCAGTGTGGAAACAGATGTCTGATTCTGAAGGACGCAGAAGGCATGGAGGTCTGTACGAGCAGCTCGTCCTACCCAGAGAATGGAGAACAACAGAGGAGGAGCTCTTCAACAATGGCTCCCACGAGAAGCCCCTGAGTGGCATCTCACACAAGATCACAGAGAAGAAGACACCCCCGATTCCTGCGGAGGGACTGCTCAACAGCCATTTACTCCCCAAGAAGGCCGAGTAAGCCACAGAAGCAAGACTGTGGGAGGAGCTTGGTTGCCCCAGAGAGAAATCTCAACATCTACCTCCTGATCCAAAAGATGAAGATGATTCTTAGCTCATTCACCTCCATCATGTCCCAGCTGCTTGACAAGGTTGGACCAGCTTTCTGTGGAGTTAAGCAAACTAAGAAGCTGGTGAGTCCCAAGGAGATGAAGCCTAAATCCCAATCACCTCTTTGCCCCCAAAGACCAATCTGGCGAACAAATTCCAACACACTGTAGACCAGAACTTATTAGGCAGTGTTCCACTTATCTAGTGTTTTATATATATATATATATA